GCGAGGCGGGAGGCCCATCCGCAGCCACCCGGCCCCTCCGGCTGCACTCCATCCTCCGTGGGCCGCGTGCACCCACCTGCACCCCCGGCTCAGACCCGCGCAGGCGCTGTCCTGGCGAGGCGGCTCCTTACCTTGTGCACACTTTTGGGATTTTCCAGCCAAGCGTAATACATCTCCTCCACGTAGTTCGAACTAGTCCCACTCAAAAAAGGCTCGGCAGCCACTGGCGCGCTGTAGCACCTGAGGTGTTGAAACGTCCTGGGCGCCGCCGGCCTGTGTCGGGAAATTGTCTTTACAGTCTGCAAGGCCGTCAACGGCCTCAGCTTTGCCACGCAAGTCCTTAAGTGAAGCATCTTTGTCCCGTCGCCTCACGCCGGTTCCTGGTGGGAGAGAAGGGAAAAGCGGGTCAGGAATCACCGCAGGAGAGCGGTGAGCAGAGAGCCCCCCCCCGCCCCGCGCCGCCGCCCCCAGCCCAGCGCTTCAGATCCGCTCTTCGTTCGGATTAACGCGTCCCGCGGCCGGGAAACGCGGTTTTCACTCGAGACGCTCGGCACAGCTGGGTCTGCCTCCTCGATACCTCCCGGCACGGCACCGGCATCGCCACCGCCCCCGACACGACGGCAAAAAGCAGATTTACGCAGTGGCGTAGCCTCAGACCAGCCGCTGCGCGTCAAAGCCGCCTTTTTATATGGCACCTTAGTACAAAACAAGGGATATTCGATGGCAAAACGTGGCAAGGATTAAGGTCTCAGGTTCCCCCTGTGCCTCCCTCTAACTCCCAGCCATCAACATCCACTCCTTTTCCAATAACAAATCCATATTGGTTGATTTGATGTTTTAACTCTTCCTCTGAGAATCCTCCTTCCTTTTGTTTTAAATGGGAAAATCCTCTCTGTGGAACCCCGGGCTCCCCTTCGGCCCCTCAGCCTCCCGTCTGCAGGGACGTCGCAGCGCCCATGGCAAAGCACTGCGTGCCCAGGAGCACGCCGGACAACGCCGGTCACCAGCCGGATTTCGACGCCGAAGGTCACGCTGTGCGCTGCGCCGAGCTGGCCGAGCCGAGCGAGGACAACCCCTCGCACCGACCCAGCGCGGGAGCCTTGCCGTCGCCCCCTCCCCCATGTTGAAGGTC